AGAGCTGCTGAGCCTGAACCTCTTTACTCGGTTGGAGGCGGCTGAGCCCTCCGTCTGCCACAGCAATGTTTCCAGCATCACTTTATTTTATAGCGGCTGGAAGATTTCTGAAAGTCACCAAAAACAACAAAAGTAGGACTTCCTGCTTCTCACAGAGGACTTCCTGCCAGTTCAGACAAAAAAAATAACCAAAGTATGAACAGCATTTCTTCATGGACATGACCTTTAACCTCTGACCGCTGAAGCTGGCTGACCTTTTCTGCTTCCTTTTCCATCTATTTCAAATTAAAGGCCCTCCTAATAGCTGCTGGACAGTTTTGTATTAACAAGGCTTTTATTGTGAAATACTGATTTTGTCCTTAAGAATATGTGTGGCTTTGACAAATGCTCCGTTCTTTGCTGTGAGAGACAGAGTTTAGTTTCCTGTGAGGACAGGAAGTGACGTGTGAAACTATGAGGAAGCTGAACTCTGTGGCAGTCTGCCGTGATGTTTGGCTGCACACACTAAACTGAGCTGAAAGAGAGTGTGTGTGTTTTAGTATGCAATAAGAAGTGAAACACACACACAGCAGCTGCTTTCAGCACACACACTCACTTTGTTCACACGAGGACAAAAAACTTTATTTAACTGAGCTTGTGTGACAGGAGAGCGTGAGTTTAAAGCTCTGCACAGAAGAATCACACGAGCAGGTTTCTGTGGAGCTTCACCTGAGACACGAGGAGGGAGGAGACAAGGACACGAGGAGGCGAAGGAGACCCGATGACAAAGCGCTCAGAGTACGTAGCTGCTCTGAGTGGAGGCGGCTTCATGGTGTGATGGTGGATAAAAGGCTGAAACATGCTGAAGGTGGTATTTGACTGCAGGCTGGAAGCATCACACTGCATGACAGCGCTCGTCTCCCTGCTGCACACACGTCTGACTCTTCTTCTGTGTTTCCAGATTAGAGAGCAGCAGGCATGAAGTCATCACCTGTGTGGCCTCGTTTACTAATGTTTGTATGAAAAAGTTCAAACTTCTTGGAGATGTTGGAACAAACACAGTGGTGTGTATGTTTGGAAACACTGGGGGCCAAGCTCAGCGTCTGCTCAGCTCCATCCACATCTTTGCCTTATTTTACACACGACTCCATCAGGTTACAGCTGAACGATGAACGCACTGCTTCCTGCCACAGGCTGCAGATCAGTCAGCGTTCTGATGGCGCCGATCTTTTCACCCAATGACATCTGTCGTCACAGTCACATGACTCCTCTTTGTGTGAATTAAAGTTTTCTATCTGCGTTTTATTTATTTCACACAAACTGTTGTTGTAATGTCACCAAATGTCCACTAGATGTCAGCAGTCATCAGAGTACATCAGCCTTCATGCTCTGAATACACAAACATACATGTGCACTTAAATGAGCTCACGTTATTGATCTGATGGATCGCCTTTGTTTTTATAAGTCAGTGTTACCATGGAAACGACACTAACACACTATCTAAACATACAGTGGATTTATTTGACTTTAGTCTTGAATGGAAACAATAACCTGACATCTGATCATCAGAGCGTCACCTGTAACCATGGTTACTGACCTGCAGCCTCACATCACCAAACCCACGAGGACGAAGCAGCTCTGAGCAGCGTCACTGCTGAGAACACCAACATGTGCAGGAAAGCTGTGCTGGCTTTGATTCTCTGCCTGTTTACAGCTTCTGTAGGTGAGTGTTTGCATGAGAAAGATGGAATCATGTGTCCATGCACAGGTACACGTGTCTGTTTCTACACGTGTGCATCATGTCACACCCTTCTAATGCTGGAAGGAAATTAAAACAGCATTTTCTTCACTTCTGTTTTCTATTCTACGTTTTTATTTTTGCATTTCTGTGAAGATTCAAACACTGATTATCTTTCACATGTCAAGTGTTTCTATTACCGTGCGCTCACAGACTTGGAAGGAGCGCTTGCTTGTTTTATACTGGTGTATTTAAGTCTGTGTGCTGAATGACAGACCCTGATTCATGTGCATGAGGAGAAAAAGCAGTGATTCGAGTGTGTTTATATGTGTTGACAGATTCATGTTTAAGCTTTGCCTCAGACTTCAGTGTGCAGGAAAAGGACATGAAAATGAGTGGAAGGAGCATTTTGATGTAAAATATTTGATAGATGAAGGTAAAGTTTGACAGCAGATCGACCAGGGTGCGCACAGGGGGGGGGGTTTCATGGGGCCACAGAACCAAAACAAGAGGCAACATTGAACTGTTTCATCCATGAAGTGAATTTATTTGAAGCACAAACAAAGTGAACGAACATTTAACAATCAAACTGAAGATTTCACATCCTGCACATCTTTAAAAAGCACTGACTGACATCACTGTGGACTGAAACGTCTGCATGCACGAGTCCATAGTTACAGAGAAGTCCACCCAAGGAGGACTTTCCTACCAGCTGGGCTGGAAGCTGCGCCTCCTGTCCCCCATTCATGTGGTGGGAACGTCCTCACACTGGGGGGGGGGGTCGTCCTCGCTCCTGCTGATGTCTGAAAGAGACGAACGTGGAGTAAACACGAGGATGTAACTGAGAACTACAGTAACTTATTACTTTATCTTTTGATTGTTATTCATTAGTGTTAATGAAACTGAGTGCATGGAGTTTAATCACAGGGCAGTGTGAGACACACAGGTCTGAGGGCTGGTCCACTGCGTCCCTCACAGCTCGTGTCCTCCTCCTCCTCTCTGTAGTTCCCTCACGCTCTCCATCTTCATCTTTGCTAACAGGGAACAAACGTCTGTGTGTCTTTCATGTCAGCTGATGTTGTTCCAGCTGTGACGCTGAAAGCTGAGCTCCTGTCTCATGAGCGACAGCTTCATGTTTCATGGTTAAAGTAAAAGGATGAGGTCTGTCTCTGAGCCTGTGCGGACCGGATTTGTTCAATGTTAAAGTCATGACGCTGGATTCCACTGTGACGTCACCAAACCGTACCGCTTACCTTCGTCTTGTCACGTGTTTTCACGTTAGTCGGCTTTAACGATGCGCTTGTGCTCTTTTTTCTCCTTTCTTCTTGTTCCAAAACCCGCGGGCTTCGAGAGCGAGTGTGCAGCGCACTAAAGAGTCCGTGTTAAACACAAACTAGAACACTAGTTCCAGTTTCCGTAAGAAATTAATTCATCATCGCATCTTCAGCCTTCACGGGACCGAAGATGTCTAAGACATAGAAATGCTTATTATGGGTTCACCTGATGTCATTGAAAAGATGCACATAGGTAACGCGCAGGCCGTCCAGCGCCGAGGTTTATCTTATCACCTCGAGTCTGCGACACTCTCTCCATGTCCTCTCAGATAAGGGCGCGCACATTTCTGCACGATCTTCTAAATTACAAAGAGCGATTCACAAAACAGAAGCTGACCATCACAAACCAAACATGGCTCCACTGAGCGTCAACCTATCACCAGAATTTACTGATAATCTAAAGACTCACATAACTCGTTTTGTCTCATTTTGTCTTAGTTTGAGACATAAGTGCATGATTATAATACTGTGTAGTTAGATGAGACAGAACTGATGCTTCCTCTTAATTATCCTCTTCATTTTTCCCGAGCCTCAGCAGTGGAAGCCTGAAATGACATGACAACGATCCCGTGCCAAGGAGCGCTCAGCCACACTGTTAAGTAGCTCCCCAACAAGGCTTGATCAGGTCCAGGTGTGTGATGAACTTCAAGTGTGGCCAGCCAGCTGGCAGGGCCACCCACCCACCAGGCCTGAAGGTGCCTGTCACAGCCACATCCACACACGCAAACACACCTTCCTATACACACACAAGCATGGACACGAGAACAGCAGCACAGTGCAGAAACACACATAATATAAAAGGAGTCATAACTGCTCATGGACTGGGTCGCTCAGACCCAGGTCCCTGACATGGACGGAGTTTTGGGCACAGATTACAGATTACTGGCTCCTGACTACAGTAGCCGTAATCCATCAAGCGAAGTGGTGCGGCTTCGTAGCTTACCAAAGTCGTACGAAAACATTTTTGACAGATTTTTGAGCGACGTGTACCACATAAAATCGGTTTGCAGGGCTCGCAAAATCGCTAGCCCGACGTCCCGGAGCTAGTGATATGTCCGGTCGGGCGACCAAAATCTATCTCAGCCCCGCCCGTCAGGTTATCATATAGCCCGACGGGCGGGGCTGAGATAGATTTTGGTCGCCCAACCGGAGTTAATGCTAGCTCCGGGATGTCGGGCTAGCGATTTTGCGACTTTGTGATCAGCACAACGAGAATTCATACATAAGGCGCACTGGATTATAAAGCGCACTGCTGATTTTTGAGATAATTAAAGGTGTTGGGTCTAAACTCAGACCCCGCTGTATCCAGGACTTATTCCCGTGAAAGAAAAACAAGGCAACAGTGATCGATCGTTTACTTGCAAGGGAGGCCTCGTCGGTATCTCAGCTCATTACGAATGACCCCGACAATGGCCTCCTCTCGCTGCCTTTTATTGGGAAAACAGTTCATCACAGCAAGGCAACGCCCAAATGGTTCTAAGACAAGGCATTGTATGTATATGTGTGAACTTCTGTATGTATGTAAGAGTGTCCTCCTGCTGGGCAGGAAGCTTACATCAAAAAGACCGTCACAAGGATGTGTCTGCAATAAAAGACTACAGCCCCCCACCCAGAACCTCGAGAGGGAGGGGGGCAGTGGAATTCCTTGCATCACAGAGTTAAAACGATGTAGAGATGGTAAGCATAAAAATAACAACATTTAACAATTCAGTCTAACAAAAGGATTTTAAGTGCACCTTAAAGTGCAGAAGATACGGTAGTCACTGTTGTTACTGGGAGCAGAAGAGTTATAGCACAAAAACATTTTTGAGTAAACATAAGAGTAACAACCTCTGGGTTTACAAAATTTCACCTGAGCCCTTCATACATTTCAAACTATATTGCAATCCATTCAGGCACTGCCAGTGAAAACTTGTTAATAGCTACATGAAAATACTTGGATTCAGCACTTTAATTAAGATGTGATTTTATGTTGGTAAAAGTGAAAGAGTTTACAATAATCTGACAAGGCAAAAATCAGTAATTATACAGTAAATATATCAGAAAATATCCTGCAGACATTGCCATGAACCAAAAAATAAAAACCCAACAAAAAATTAAATTAAAACTTATAACATCAGAAGTACGCAGGAAAAAAAAAATCAAATTCTAAAACAAAACAAAAAAACATGCAGAAATTTGCAATCACACATTTGGCGAAAGGTTTAAATGAAAATGTTTAAATATAATATTAAAAACTACATGAAACAAATAGATATTGTTAAGAAATACACTATCATGCCATGAAAAAGTTAAAAATTACACATCTATAATTGTTGTGTGTCATAAAATGCTACAAGTCAATAAGAATAAATCGATGAGTAATGCGTTTTTCTTTACTCCTTGAAGAGATTAACAGCTAGGTAGGTACAAATTCAGCGTTTGGACAGCACTGTCCTAGGAGCACTGAGAATGTTATGTTTAGTGACAGTGGCTGTTAGCAAGATCATCTGTATGTGACAGCTCTCCATTTTATTTCAAACCTAGATGTTTATAGAGAAAGGGATCCTCCTCACGGAGAACCTCAAACATTTCTGAATCACCACCTTTCCTGCTCACAGTGTCAAAAACCCAACTAGCTTTATCTTTTCTGTTTTTCACTGTTTTTGCTTCGTCCACTTCATCTATAGTTAACACTTTTTTTTCCAGCAGGTGGTGCAGCAGACTGCTGAGAACAGGTCCTGATATACTTTCGATGAAGCTCCTTCGTATCTTTTCTGGACCAGCATCCAAAGATTTCACAGTACCAGTTGTTCCTCCAGTAGGAAAAAGACAAACCTCTGTTTCCCAAACACAGGTGGAGCTGCTCTTGTCTCTCAGACACAGATTAATATCTGTAAAGACTTCCTTTAAGAACACCTGAAATGATGGGAAGTAGCTTTCGAAGGACTCCTCTTGAAAATCAGCTTGTTTTGGTTTAACTTTAACGAGGTCATGTTCAGGATCAGTGGCCAGAGTGTAAGCCTGCTTTGGATGCAGTTTGCAGTCAGAGGTTGTCTCGATGTATATCTCAGTTTTGTCTGACTTCTTCCTGTCACGCCGCATTTTGGGGAACACAATATTACGTGGCAACATGAACACACTGAGGACAGATCTGGGATTACAATCGTTTGGGGGTTTGTAGAAGAGCAGAACCAATGATTGGACTGGGTCAGGAGGAGAGTCTTCATCCTTGACATTACCATAAGCAGAAAACCCTTCGATATTTATAATAGCATGAGTTTTGGTTATCTTGTGAGGGTGGATAAACTCGATGCCCTCTTCTTTCACATGAGCAACCTGCAAGAACTGGCCTCCACCTGTGGAGATGACCTCACAGTGTAGGATATGAAGCTGACACACAGACTGCTGAGGACACGTGATGTCAAACAGAGGTCCTGCAGGCTTCTTGTGGTGTTGGGCCAGCAGCCTTCTGTTCCAAGGGACAGTCCTGTAAACCACATCTCCTTCTCCCTTCATGACAAACACCAGGTTGGTCACACTGCACTGGTACAGGCCTGGACAGGAGCACTGGAACATGTAGGTTTCATCACCAAAATCATCAACACTGATGTTGGGTGTATACTCATGTAACTTCATGGATGGTAAGCTTGCTGCCCGTGTTAAGTTGTTCCTTGGTACGTTGCTCAATAAAGATGAGTGACTTTGAGAGCGAGTCAGGCAGCAGAAAGCTGTGGAGCAGATGTGCAGGTGGGAGCTTGGTGGCAGGGTGCTGCTCACTGAATTAAACTCAGTCCCTACAGGTGTTTCTCCTGTATGATTTTCAACATCTGGATGGGTTTCTGCTTGCCAGGGAGAAGCTCCAAAAGGGTTTTCAAGCTTTGCTTCATTGCTGCATTCAGGAGACCCAGTTACCAGTAGACTGTGAGAAAGTGTGGAAACAGACGATTTACTTTGGTATCTGCTGTAGTTCATAGGTTCACAGTTTAATTTAGTAACCTGACTTCTAAGTCTCAAGTTCTTCTCTATTATACTATTAAATTTCAGGCAATCACAAAGTTTGTGAAGAATGTATGTCACCAAATTTAAATCAGACCACATATGGTCCTTTTAGTGTTGAGGTCAGTTACTTTTCGTAAGTTCTGAGGCGATCTGTAGCACCTCCTCTACTGTCTCTGTGGCTGCTGTGCTCCGTCAACATATGGCTAATTACTGACACAACACTATTTGACAGTGAGATAGACCAGGCCGAAGAGAGATAATAATGATCCACCAAGAACACATTATGAAATTTCTTAACCCAGTCTTCCTTAACTGGATGAAAGGACATTTTCTAGGACATCTGCCAGTCAGTGACATTTTTCTTCATCTCACAACAGGACACTGCAAGCAACATGGAATACACAGAGTTTCTGATTTCTCAGACTTTTTATCTGATTTAGTTCTGAGCTCAGATAAAATAATTATTGTGGCTGATTTTAACATCCATGTAGATGCTAAAAATTATGAGTGACGTATGTATGTGTATGTATGTATATATTGTACTATTCTTAGTTAGTGTATTGTCTGTCTTGTCTTAATGTTGGTTTATAATGGAGCACTGTAACAAAAAATAATTTCCCCCAGGGATCAATAAAGTATTCTGATTCTGATTCTGAAAAATGACAGCCTCAACATGGCATTTAGTCTGTTATTAGACTCAATTGAAGTATCTCAAAATGTAAAAGAACCCACCCACCACTTTAATCACACTCTAGATCTTGTTTTAACATATGGCATCGAACCTGAACATTTAACAGTGTTTCCTGAAAACCCTCTGCTGTCTGATCATTTCCTGATAACTTTTACAATAATTGATTACACAGCAGTGGAGAGTAGACTTTATCACAGTAGATGTCTTTCTGAAAGCGCTGTAACTAAGTTTAAGAATATAATCCACCCACTGTTATCATCTCCAATGCCCTGTACCAACACAGAGCAGAGCAGCTATCTGAATGTTAACTAGTAATGACTTCATGAACTTCTTCACAAATAAAATTGTTATCATCAGAGAAAAAATTACCAATAATCATCCCACAGATGTAATATTATCTACAGCTACTCTTAGTACCATTGATGTTAAGTTAGACTCTTTTTCTCCAATTGATCTTTCTGAGTTAACTTCAATAATTACTTCCTCCAAACCATCAACATGTCTTTTAGAGCCCATTCCTACAAAACTGCTCAAAGAAGTCCTGCCATTAATTAATTCTTCCATCTTAAATGACAAACTTGTCTGGTGGTGTGTGTTAGAGGGATCTGAATTAAACTGTAATTAACCAGAAGCAATGTAAACCGTAAAGTGAGTTATCACATAATCTGTTCCATCAGGTTGAGTTTGTTTTTTAGTAATTATGGTCACCTGGCACACCTTTAGTTTAATGGGAAGAGCAAGTGGACATATGCCGTTTGGCGAATAGTGGCTTGCCTGGGTTTGAGTCGGACCTGTGGCCCTGGTCTTCCCTCTCTCGCTCCCTCTGCTTTTCTGTCAGTCTCTACTGTCCCTATCAAATAAATCCAAAAAAGACCCCATTCTTTTTTTAAATAACAAATAAAATAATTATAATTTGGTCACCTGTATGAAGGTTTTTCAGCCTCAGTCATTTGTGCTTTTCTGAAATCCTAAAAAGTGGACAGTAAAAAAGAGATTAGTAAATGACTTCACGCAATTGATGGTTTTCTATAACAGGACGAGACTGCTGATACTCAACTGCACACAGGGACACTGAGGAACCAGGAGACAAGAATGTAAACCCAGGATAAAGAGGTTCAGTGAATGTGGTGTTGAAGGTGTGGAGGTGGATCAGAGTGTCAGAGGAGACTCTGTAGAAGGACAGAGTGCCAGCAGGACAGTCCACATACACTGCTGCTCTGTGAGAGACAGAGGAGGAGGAGGAGGAGGAGGAGATGGATGTTTGTATGTTATTGTGACAGACAGACTGAGGACCATCATCAGAGCACCTCAGACTCCAGGACTGATCATTGTATCCAAACAAACAGTCATCACTGCCTCCTTTCCTTCTGATGCTTCTGTAACTCACTGATATAGAAACGTCTCCTGTCCACTCGACCTCCCAGTAACAGCGACCAGTCAGACCATCTCTACACAGCAGCTGTTCACAAACATCAAATCTGTCTGGATGATCAGGATATGACTGAACCTCCTTGTCATATGTCACCTTCCTGTTGTTGTTAGACAGTTTGAGGTTTGTGTTCACTGTGTTTGTGTCGATTGTGAGTTGACAGGAATCTGATGGAGAGAACAAACAATCCAGCTGCAGTTATTGATCCATCATCTGTTCATTGATTGACACTTTGATGATGACTCCTGACATGATGAAGATGGTTGAATGTGTGCTGCTTTGTTTTCATGAATCCCATTAAAAACACACTTACACTTCCTCAGACCTGGTGTCAACCATCGGACTCCAGCAGGCTCCACCCTGAAAGGAGGAGGGGGGTCAGAGCAGCACAGTCAGTTTCAGTTTATTTGTCATATGCAAGTTAGCACAGGGTCAACATTGCAATGAGATGTGTTTGACGAGCAGCAGTCACTCAGCAGCATGGTGCAGTAGGAGAAAATAAAATAAAATAATAATAAAATAGAAAAATAGTAAGGAGCAAATATTAGAGAGACGTGGTAAAAGAGAAAAGATGACTAAATATATATGTATCTATAAATATAAATATATGTACACTAGTGATTAAATAAGAAACATGACGGGGGGGCAGATGGGACATTGCACAGGAATGAGCAGCAGAAAATCACAGTATTGCACTTTTAAATATAGATATCAATAAAGTGAAGTGACCAGTGCAGATTAAACAGAGTACTTGTGAAGCTGCAGCTTCTGAGTGCTGTGTTGTGTGTGTTTAAGTGTTGTGGTTGATGGTAGAAACTGTGTTTAAGTCTTGTAGTCCGAGCAGACAGAACCTGTAACGTCTGCCAGACGGTAACAAGAACAGCTGATGTGCTGGGTGGCTGTGGTCCTTGATGATGCTGTGTGCTTTACGGAGGCACAGCTGGAGATAAATGTCCTGAATGGCAGGAAGCCTCGTGCCAGTGATGTGCTCTGATGCCTTCACCCTCTGTAGTGATTTACGGCTGCTGGCAGAGCAGCTTCGTACAAAACTGTGATGCAGCTCGTCAGCAAGCTCTCGATCGCACACCTGTAGAAATTTGAGGTGATGTTGGCATTCATGCTAAACTTCCTCAGCCTCCTCAGGAAGTAAAGCCGCTGGCGAGCTTTCCTGATAGCAGCGTCTGTGTGAAGCAGTGTCTGTGTGAAGGGTCCAGGAGAAGTCCTCTGTGATGTTGACTCCAAGGAATTTGAAGCTGCTGACCCTTTCGGCCTTGACACTGTTTATGTGGATGGGCTGGTGCTCCCTGACTGGTCGAGAGTCAGGTTATTTTCCAGACACCACTCGTACAGCACCATCACCTCCTCTCTATAGGCCGTCTGATCATTGTCTGTGATGAGGCCTATGATGGTTGTGTCATCCGCAAACTTGATGATGATGTTGGAATCGTGTTTAGCAACACAGTCGTGTGTGAGCAGTGAATATAGGAGGGGGCTAAGCTCACAACCCTGTGGCGTACCTGTGTTTAGGATGAGTGATGAGGAGGTGTGCTTACCAACTCTCACCACCTGGGGCCTTTTGTGAGGAAGTTTAGAATCCATCTGCAGATCGGTGTTCCCAGCCCAAGGTTGATGAGCTACAAAGCAAGTTTTGAGGGGATGATGGTGTTAAATGCCGAGCTGTAGTCGATGAAGAGCATCCTTGCATATGTATTCCCTTTTTCAATCAATCTTTATTTATAAATAATAATAATGGATTGGATTTATATAGCGCTTTTCAAGGCACCCAAAGCGCTTTACAATGCCACTATTCATTCACTCTCACATTCACACACTGGTGGAGGCAGCTACAGTTGTAGCCACAGCTGCCCTGGGGCAGACTGACAGAGGCGAGGCTGCCATATCGCACCATCGGCCCCTCTGGCCAACACCAGTAGGCAAGTAGGGTAAAGCATCTTGCCCAGGGACACAACGACCAGGACAGAGAGCCCAGGGATCGAACCTGCGACCTTCCGGTTACAGATGCGATTCCCAACCCCTGAGCCACGGTCGCCATAAAGCACTTTTCATACAAAAAAAAATGTAGCACAAAGTGCTTTACATGGTTAAAAGCAGCCCACCTCACCCTCCAACTCACTCCCCACACTCTCATTAACATAAACGATGTGAATACACACATATCTCCCCCCCCCACACTCACACACACACACACACACACACACATTTAAAGAGTAAAAATTGGGCTGGGCTCGCATGAATCAGAATCAGAATCAGAATCAGAAAGGGTTTTATTGCCAAATGTTGAGCAGGTTTACAACATTAGGAAATTGCTGCGGTGCTTCAGTGCAAACATACTGTCATAAATTGCGCTTAAATAGACATGAAAAAATAAAATAAAATAAATAAAAGTTAGAATAAGAATTAAAAGTGCTACGTAGAAAGATATATACATGATATATACATGAGTGCAGGTGGTGATCAGTGCCAAACATGGAATGATTCAGTGACACAGCGTAGGGTCATGTGTTAGTGGCGGGAACAGTCATGTGGTTATTGTTCATGTGTCCAACAGCAGAGGGGAAGAAACTGTTCTTATGGCGAGAGGTTCTGGTGCGAATGGACCGGAGCCTCCTGCCTGAGGGGAGCAGGTCAAACAGACTGTGTCCAGGGTGAGAAGGGTCAGCTGAGATCCGAGCTGCACGCCGCAGTGTCCTGGAGGTGTACAGGTCCTGCAGAGATGGGAGTCTGCAGCCAATCACCTTCTCAGCAGAGCGCACAACACGCTGCAGTCTCTGTGTGTCCCTGATAGTGGCTCCAGCGTACCACACGGTGATGGAGGAGGTGAGGATGGACTCGATGATTGCAGTGTAGAACTGCATCATCGTCCGTGTTGGCAGGTTGAATTTCTTCAGCTGCCTCAGGAAGTACATCCTCTGCTGGGCTTTCTTAATGACGGAGGTGATGGTGGGCTCCCACTTCAGGTCCTGGGTGATGGTGGTACCCAGGAAGCGGAATGAGTCCACAGAGGTGATGGGGGTGTCAGTCAGGATGATGGGGGGGAGTGGGGCTGTGTGCTTCCTGAAGTCCACAATAATCTCCACTGTCTTCTGGGCATTCAGCACCAGGTTGTTGTGGCTGCACCAGGACACCAGACGTTCAACCTCTCTCCTGTAGGCAGACTCATCCCCGTCCGAGATGAGTCCAATAACGGTGGTGTCATCTGCAAACTTGATTAGCTTGACAGACTGGTGGGTGGAGGTGCAGCAGTTGGTGTACAGGGAGAAGAGCAGAGGAGAAAGAACACAGCCCTGAGGGGAGCCGGTGCTGATGGTCCGGGAGTCCGAGACATTCTTTCCCAGCCTCACGTGCTGCTTCCTGTCCATCAGGAAGTCAGTGATCCACCGGCAGATGGGATCAGGCACATTCATCTGGGAAAGCTTGTCTCGGAGATGGTCTGGAAGGATGGTGTTGAAGGCAGAGCTGAAGTCCACAAACAGGATCCTGGCGTAGGTTCCTGGGGAGTCCAGATGCTGCAGGATGAAGTGTAGGGCCATGTTGCTGGCGTCATCTACAGACCTGTTGGCTCTATATGCAAACTGCAGGGGGTCCAGGAGGGGGGCCGTGAGGGTCCTGAGATGGGAGAGAACTAGGCGCTCAAAAGACTTCATGACCACAGATGTCAGAGCCACGGGTCTGTAGTCATTTAGTCCAGTGGTCCTAGGTTTCTTGGGGACAGGGATTATGGTGGAGGACTTGAAGCAGGCAGGCACATGACATGCCTGCAGTGAGGAGTTGAAGATGCCAGAAAACACTGGGGCCAGCTCGTTTGCACAGTGTCTGAGGGTGGCAGGAGACACGCCGTCTGGGCCGGGAGCTTTCCGAGCATTCAGACTCTTAAACTGCTTCCTCACATCTGCTTCATGAATATGAAGAGTTGTGGTCGGAGGAGGTGGTGTGAAATCCTCTTTTGTGTGGGGTGAGGAGGGGGGTGTTGTAGGTGAACAGTTTGAAGGTGGTGATGGCTCTATGGAGGGGGGATAGGTGGGGGAATGAGTGTCCAAAGTGTCTCTATTATTGGAGGTGTGAAGGCTGCCTGATGGCTCGTCAAAACGGCAGTAGAAGTCGTTAAGGGTGTTGGCTAAGAGCAAGTCATCGGTGGAGTGGGGGGTTTTAGGCTTGTAGTTGGTGATATTCCTAAAACCTTTCCACCTTTCATGAGCCAAGTGAGGAAACACTATAACAGAGAGCCGTCTGCACCGGGAGCCGGTAACAGACCGCAGCCTCCAGGCTGGGCACACAGTAGGAGGGAGGCCAAGGAGCCCCCCAGCCAGGCTGAGAGGACCCCCAGAGACCCAGCAGCCATGTTCGATCACAGCCCCGGTGCAGAGAGCGCCCTCCGAGGAAACACTGGAGATATGACACAATAGGATATATACAGGGTAAAACGATAAAATAAATAAGAACGGGATACAATATAAATATAAATATAAATAGAGTAAGAAGATTAAAAAATGAATAAGAATAAAATCAAGAAATTTTAGGTAAAACCTAAATTAATAATAGAATAACAGGATAGAATAAATAAGCATAAAATAAATAAACGCTAAGTAAAAGCTAAATTAAAAAGGTGGGTCTTGAGCCTGTTCTTAAAA